GCTTAGTCAAGTCGAATGCATGATGCATCCTTTAGAAATTGATCAACACCAAGAACCTCAACGTTCATCGTTTATTTACGCCGAGGTTTATAGTAAGTCGGTTTTTCGAGGGAATAACGTTTTGTTTTCGCGAGTGGAACGGTCCATCATGTCATTAATGAGGGCGTTGTTGGCTATTTTTTAGCCCAGATACCCCGATCACTAAAAGTGAAGAGCCAAAAATCGTCGCTATTTTTTGAAATGATAGGCATTTTTAAAAATGATGGTGCTAACAACTCATTCACGTATGCTTGCATTTGTTCTTTTACTAGTGATAACTTCTTGTTTCTAGAATAACCTACCTTGAATGTGATTGTTCCTAAGGTTTTCTATTTTTTAGAATGATGTAGAACGACTATCAACAACAGATCAAAACGGATTTTTTTTCTTGATATATAGCTGATTTCCATACTTGGTGATTAGAGCGACTTTTCAGGCTTCCATGTTCTGCTCTTTTTGATTTCGCCAATACTGTCTCATTTTCTGCCGTCGTCGCCATTGAAGCATGAGCTCAAAGGACAGGATAGTCCTGGTTAAAGTGTCGCATCTGAAAACTAACGAAATCTATCAGCTCCTCGGTCGGTCACCCACTGACGTCAAATTCGTTAATATTGAACGAAACTCTAAAAGAAAATGGTTGTTGTTCAATGACCGCAGTATTTGTCGTAGTTGAACAAAGGGTTAACATCAAAGCTACGAATTTTAATTTTTTTTTGTTTATGCATAAACGACCACCACATATGACCCGATTCCAGCCCTTCTCCCATCCAATTCGTTTTTCTCATCCATCATCCACACATTTCTTTCGTTTCGCCGATTGGTTCGGCCTCTGCTTGAGGATTCCTATTTCTGAATGTCGTTGATGTTGGGTTATCAACTCTCTCATTCGTATTACAACAAAATTACTGATAGGAGGAGTGAATGAATCGAGCTTTACAATTATGAATGGGAGTAAAACACTCGAAAGGAAAACTGTTGCTGATGGGTCATACACCAGAAAAACTGACTTACCAATCCGACATCAATTTTCAAACATCCTTACACAGCTGCGGTGAGTGTAAAGTTAGTGCTAGATTCTATCGTCGTCTCGCAGTTCTAATGAATCTGCACATTCAAGCGTATTTGTATGGTCTTCTCACATTTTCGCTCCAATATTCTTCCACCACTCTGTAGTCAGGAGATCAGATTAGGCATGGCCTCTTGAAAAAACAACTTCCAAATTCTTCTTCATTTCATCCCTTTGGAATGAAATTTAAATTGGATGCTCTTTCGGCATCCGTCAAAAAGTAAATAAAGTATAACTTGATAATTACAATATGAACCCTTTTATTTACTGCCTATTCTTCTTAACTGCAGGGTATTTGCGAAATATAACCACCATAATGCTGAGATATTTGCAAGACTCCGGACCGCAGGTGTCTGCGACGAGGAACGAATACGCTATTGTCCTTTCCGGGAGTAATACGTGTTCACCACCACACCATGCGGTTCCTTCGTTTCGCTTGTCTCTCAGCTAGTTCTATCAATCTTCAGCATTCTCCCGTCAACGGGTTCGTTTCCTACCGCAGACATCTGCGGTCCGGAGTTTTGCAAACATCTCAGCATTTTAGTAGTTATATAACTTTATACTTGAACGGCTCGTCATCACTAGTTGTGCTGGCCCCAGCATAATCACCATTTTTCGGAGATTTGCTAGTTAGGCCACTGTGGTTTCCTAGAATCCTGAGGACAGCCTGGCCAAAGTCTGCTCCAGGTCGTCACCATGACAGGCAGTCGCAGCCCTTGTGAATCAGAGAGACATTTACCACCATGCGACTTTGATACCATGACGGTTGTGGTTCCTGGCATTGGTTTACTCTTAGCTAGGCTTTCTGATGAAAACGCCGGACTCCTTCTCAGCTTGAGAAACCCTGTCAGGTGATGAATCCACCGCTGTACATCGCAGTCCGACACCCAGGAACATCTCCCACCCACGATGAAGCGGTAAACCGCTGGGAGGAAATAAAGTATAAATAGATTCACAAAAAAGATTTTCGTTCGCGAGAACTCTTGTGCTTTATAATTGAACTTAGAAAATCAGAAACAACAAGAAGGTTGAAAATGCTCTGTGGACGTCACCATGACTTTTTTGCTTGTTCGTTCGAAGCTTAATTGTTTCGAGTAACGAAACTAGGAAGACCCGTAGTACCTATCGATCAACTGACATAGCATTGAATAATAGTGAAGTAGACACCCTGTTTCCTGTTTTATGAAGTCGACTCATTATCTTATGTGCGGTTTAGGTCGACCCATGCGTAGACTTCTTCGAATTCACTTGTGGAAACTAGAAAACCGAACACCCATTTCCAAGTCATAAGACCAGCTACACTCAGTTTGACATGGTCTTCGACAAAGTCCAAGAGGAAATGAGAGGTAGTAATTACGGCCTTTAGAAATTTGCCTACTTCTATAGTGTGTAATGATGATCGTAATAGGCGCAATGGATGTACTGTGCAAGGCTGGCCAGAGTTTTGACAGCGTATTCGTCTAGTTTGTACCGCTCGGCTTATGACGAGCAGTTTTTAGAAGTCTTCGAATCGAAAGAATTGAGCCCGTCGAAATCCGCTAATGCTCTAAAGGCGATGTACCGCAAATTCATGGACAAAGATGAGCTGAACCCGATTGGTGCGAGACAGCTGATAGGAACAATGAAGGTGGGCTATTATTGAACACGCCGTGCTTCCACTCCGTCGAAGGAATTCGGGAGAATATTGAATGCCCTTCCTTTGGAATGATAAAATATGGCTAAATAAACAGTAATTAAACAGGCAATCCCTCAATAAAGTGTTTTCATTAATCTATGGAGATCGCACTCAACACTTAAAGATAGCAAAAACACAAGAATTTTAGCGAAAAACGTAAGTATGATTTAACTAATAACTGCGCTCTATCCGTTTTTGACGGCAGTGCATGATGCGTTATACAGCCAAAAGAATGCCGAGATATTAGCCAAATTCAGGACCTCAAGTCGGCTTCGAACCAGAGACTATCCATACCGAGAGCTCACGTCCAAATTCCCACACTAATCGACTCCCTTGTTTTCGTTTTCTCGCGGGCAAGTTTTAACTCTATGGGTGCTACCAGCTATCATACGTCAACGTGAATAGCGTGATTGCCTAAAACAAAACTCTTTGCTTACGATGCAGAGCTATGGCGAGTGGCCGATGCTGGAAGGAAACAAATGGAGTCCTGACCAGTTCGACATGACAGCGCTTTTTGTCCAGATCGCAACGGTCAGAGGAGTCAACGTGTCTATCAAAAACTACATCACTCTCGATAGTAGAAACGTTTCTCGGATATCTAAAGGGGTAAAAGAGTTTCTTGCTTCAGCTCTTCGCAACTAAATCTTATTACGGGGCCATAACCAACTGTAATAATTCTTAGCCAAAACACCACATAGTATGAAAATTGGAATCTTTTAAGAAAAAACTAATTGGTTCTCAGCAATCGAAGAAGTGTTCTGCATTTTTTGTGCATCAAAATTGCTTTCTTTCAGTTCGACCTGGGATAGCTCTGTTTGGGTAATTCGACTCGTGATTACTATCTGGACAGAGAAAAGTATGGAAAAATTGCCGTCTACAGAGAATTCTTTATCAGCACGGCTAGTGCGCAAACCGGCTCTATAAAATGAGCTTTTCGAACGGCTAAGAATTGGTGCAATTTGTGTTGAAAGTGGAAAAAGAGCTCAGTGAATGGAGTGCTTAAGGTAAAACAACTTCATGAAGACGCTGGACTTCCTATACATAAAGCGAGAATTGCAAGCAATGTGGATGAAGTTATCGAGGTGAAACTGAGCTGGCGAAAATCCTTGTGGCCAAAGAAAATCGAAGGGATTTCACCAAAATGTACAATCTGAGACGTCTCAGTGATATATAAACACTCATGCCTTTGGTGGAAACTTAGATCGTTAGAAGTACGTGAACCAGTCGAAAAAAGGATTATTTCTGTAATCAATTGCATTGAAGCATTTAACATTAGGCACGTCATCACTCTTAGTCTTCGACTTGGGAAGAACATTTTCTTATCGGCACCCAATACATTCGCGGCTGTATGAGTTGTACACGACTCACGATAAGCGGAAATGCAGGCGATTTAAAATTCGAGCCGACATATCTTAGCTCAAAGTGTAATTTACTAGCCGCAATAAGAACGAATACAATCTCAATCAGAAACCAGTTTCACTTCCTACTTCCTACTAAGTTAAGATCCTGTCTTTCTGGGACATATAAATGATACTTTTTGGTATTTCAAAAATCCACTTTCCTCTAACCACGGTATGACTGATCGACACGTGCTCTTTCATCGAAAAGCTAGCACGAGGTTTATAACTGCTCTAGTGGATTGGACTCGATGCGATCACGAAGACCCACATCGATGGGTTGAAGAACAGCGAACCATTGGCTCCGAACAATCCAGCTCTGAGGAACGTGAAATCGCGGAAGCACCGGCCGATTAAAGCTTTTTTATCAGTCTCGTGTTAGCTTATAAGTGAAAGAATACAATTTTTGGGTTTTTTAATTGAGAATTGCATTTCTAACACTAAAACAATTGGGTAAGTGGGATATCGTCCAGCACGACACAGTGGTGTTCCTTCGTGTAATGTTTGCACTTGTGTCTGCCTTGTTTTCGTTGCAAATTTCGCAAATTTAAATTCTATTCTCGAATACTCGAGAATTTAAATTATAGAAAAATCTAAATTTTTAAAAATCATCCACACCTCTCAAGCTACGGAGCAGAATTTTTTCCACAATTCTGTGACGCTCTCAAAACTTCATCTGCTTGAGTGACCGAGAACTTAAAAGTAAGCGTCTAAAAGCCGGCATGGTCGCGAATGCTAAAAGATATACAGAAGCACTTTTTAGCTGCAGCATTTGACAAAAATGAAACTTCATAGTATTTAAGAGCTCCTATTCATAAGCATTAAAATACAGTTGCTTACAGGCTGACTGGGGCAGGTACTTCCATTCCATTGTCCCATTTGCAGTCAATAACTATCAGGCTGAGGATCCGCAAATAGTCGTAACAGAAATCGATTACATGAGAAGGTGGTAGCAGTTTTTTAGAATCTTCTCGACGTCTGGTATTTATAAGTGAGTTCCAGAGTCACTGATCTCATTAACTCGACGGATCCAAGGATTATCACAAACTATGCCTACACTCGCTACTGCTCCAGCTGGGGCTGCGAACTCGGTGAACGGTATGAGGGCATCGCTCAGGTTTGTTTAAACGCAATGCATGGCCCTGAGATTTTAGCGGCCTCTCCGTACTCGTCCTACTCAACGCTGCCGGGTTCTTTCGGGGTTAAGAGAGTGAGGGCAGTTTCCTTTAGTGTGTTCAGCTTTTTCATACCCATGTATGGCTTGCCGACCTCCAAGTGGGGCTGGGTACATCCGGTGATTGGTATGAGGATATCGGTCAGGTTTGTGGAAAGAAGAGACTACGTCACCCATTCACCGCCGTCTATGACACCGGAGAAGAGCTGTTCCTCGGTGCATGCGACAGTAGACGAGGCGGCAGCGTTGGTGTTCTCGTCGATACGAGTTTGTCCATGGTCATCGATTCATTCTAACAACTAGCAACCCGAATGAGATGTTTACGATTAAAGAGATGCGGATAAACACCGGCTTTAAGGATCTTTGCCGTTTACTCTCCGACATCAAACTAAGGCGAAGAAAAATCAGAAGCGTTCAATATGGACTTGGAGAAGTTTTACAGAGAAGAACATACATTCTTCAACGTCATCGCTAGGGATTTTAACGCTGATGTTTGACCAAGAAGCGCCACATTCCAACGCCTGAAGAGCCCACCTTGTCACATTAGGACCCACGGACTAGAGTGGAAAAGACAGGTTGAGCGGCTGTTTGAGAATATCATGACGATCAAGACCATCCATGGCTAACTATCAATTCCAGAAGCCTCGCGATCAACGCTGAACGTGGTAATCTTCCAGTGGGGAGTACCGCAGCGAAATAGACCACATCACAGTAACTCTAAGGTTTTTCCTTACCGAAGTCGCTGTTATCCGAAAATTCTACACGAGATCAGACATAGCCTCGTTCGTGCAAGACTTGATTTCTCGCGAAAAAGAGAGAAAGCCCGTAAATTCAAAAAAGAACGATGTTGCAAGAGTACCATAAACTGGAATTTATTCGATTCACTAGTCCGCTGTAGGAAAGATGCCAATCTTGGTAACATCGACGACGAATACGAGCGGCTCATTCAACATCTTTACATTAGCGCTATGAAAGCTGAGAGTTCGAAAGTCACCAATAGAAGTTTGTCTCCAGAAACACTCGAACTGAAACGCCAGCTGAGAATCGCGCGAGCTGCAGGCAACCGCCAACATACGTCTGGACATGCAAAACAATGCGGGCAGGCGACAAAAGAAGATCTTAAAGAGAGAAGAGCAGCAGTTGTGGTCGAAGCTGCAGAGGCTCGGAAAAGGATTCGCAAAGCCCACCGATGCTTCGCCAATTACGAGACCAAGTTGATTGCACTCTGACGCCCAGATGGAATAGTTACAGCGTCCATAAAGGCACTAGAGAAGATCATTCATGAATACTACTCTTCGATAGCCACATCCACCTTCTGCCATATGAAATGAATGAGGATGGATATGTCGTACCACCGGTTCTCCCTTCTGAGATCCGACATGCTATTTCGTCGATAAAGATTCGAACAATACGAGATCCAGGCAGGATAAGATCTGAACACCTGAAAGACCTTCCGCCAGCCATCATAAACACTCTTGCTCGGCTCTTCACACGTTATCTCTCTGACTGCAAAGCCCCTACTCAGTGGAATCTCAGCGAAACCGTGCTATTGTTCGGGAAGGGTGACCCCCACGAAATCAGCAACTATCGTTGCTGTATGTTGTCTACAAACTTTTCACTCGAGTCATTCTAAACACGTCTGACAGAACACTGGACGAAGAACGGCCATGTGAGCAAGTAGGGTTTCGAAAAGGATTCAGTACGATGGACCGCAGCCACACGATGGTAAGGCTCACTGAAGTATTTCGAAAGCACAGGAGATCCTTCCGTCTCACCTTCATCGATTTAAGGAAACGTTTTAATTTGTGTGAGATAGAAGCAGTTACGGAAGCCTTTGATAGTCCTGAAGTCCTTGCTCAATATATAAAGATTTTTTGTCAGCTGTACAAAAATTTCACAACCAAGATATCACCATTCAACAACGATATTAACATTGGCGTCAAAAGCAAGGCGATGCCATCTGGCCAAAATTATTACCACCGCCCTCGAAAACGTCATGAGAAGATTGGAATGGGGTAATATGGGAGTGAAAATCGACGGTCGGTAGTTACACCATCTTCGCTTTGCTGATAATATCATTCTTATTACACCAAACATTTGCCAAGCAGAACGAATGCTTGCCGACTTTGATAAAGCCTGTGGAAAGATTGGTCTTCGACTAAATCTCACAAAAACGATGTTCATGGGAAACGGATTGGTCTCGTATGCCTATTTACGCTCAACACTGCTCCGAATGCTCAGTTGTGTCTATATAGGTCGGAAATCAACATGATGAACGACTTTGCTTCAGAGTTGAGCAGAATGAAACGAGCGGCTCGGGGAGTTTCAAGAGCATCGAGGATGTAGTGAAGAGAACAAAGAACACTCGACTCCGTGGCCACTTTTTCAGCCTAACGGTACTTCCTGCCTTAACGAATGCGTCAGAGACCTGGTTGCTGTGTAAGTAGGATGAAAAACCACTCAGCGCTATTGAACGCATAATCGAAAGCACGATGCTAGGACTATGCCGTACCATTCAAGTAAGAGAAGGAATCCGTTCTGACCTGTAACAACGGTAAAAAATCGAAGATTGCGTTCTGCACGGCAATCAGTCGAAGATAAGGTGGGTCGGACACGTACTGCACATGAACGACAACCGATGGACAAGAGCCCTTAGTAATTGGACCCTTCGGGATGTCAAGCGCACTGCAGGAAGACCACCGATCCATGGTCAGAGTTTTTCACAAAAAGCCTAGAAGAAAGATAGGGTGCTCAAACAGTCTCTAGAGCGAGCGGAACCCACTGACCTACTCTTGCACCCGAAGGGAAAAAATGGAAGATTGACGGAGTCAGCTCGACTCACTCGATAACCAATGGGACCACAGGTGATACAGGTGAACTCTGTGGTGAATACTAGTCATACACCTTTTACCTATCCAGATTTTTATGTAATGTGGAACCTTTTACTCTTAAGCAAACGCGATGTTGACAAGTAAAAAACTCTCTCCACCACCCGCTCCAATGGATTCTAAGTTGGTGCATCAGGGAATACCATATTGGGGCAGCAACCTGTTGTGGATCATCGATTCGAATCAACATGGATGTTCCTTTAGTCAACCTCTTAGTAGTCGAAGAAGATATTGATTATTTTGTCAAAGTTTGATGAAAGTTGCTTTGAAAACTAATGTGGAATGTATCAATTCTCTAACATAAAACCGTTTAATGATTTCTATTTTTATTACAAAAAACGTTTTTACACGCAAACGTGGAGATACAGTCGCTTGCTAAATTAGGTCGTTCAACAATATGACGCTATGAAGTAAATAATTTCGTTAACACTCAGAGACTGTCATACGCGCATTCTCATCACGAAGCTCGACGAAGCAATTAACGGCACAGATGGACGTCAGTTGACTTTATTTGTGGCTGTGTAATTTGTCGCCTAAGGTTTCTTGTCGTACCTTTTACGATGCCTCGATAGCTTGTCCGAGGCAGAGGCAATTGATCTAGACATCGTATCTGGTGTCCTGTTTAGCATACCTAGCAGATTGTAAAATTCTGTTTCTCTCACGAGATCGTTTCGACAGCGAGAGACTACTGCTGTTGAAGGAAGCAAATACCAGAGATTGTTGCCGTTCATGAGAGAACAGTGAAGACTCCGCTGCTCGTCAGTTCTGTTCCTACATGGCCTCGATTAACTGAGTATTTCAACTTGAAGAGGCATCTCTGTCCACCGTGAGCTGCATTAACAGAAATAAGAATCTCTACAATATACAAATCTTCTAGGCAATTTTAAGGTTTCAACCTCTATCAAATTGGTACTCTGAATTTTGGAAACCTATAAGAGTTCAATGTTCCATCGAAACTCACATCCGGGTACCAAAGTGATTGAGCAAGCGGAATTTCCTCCAACACGGCGTTGCGGTGATCTATGAAGTCCAGCTCTTTCTTGATGTTGCTACTTCTGCTTTGAAAACTTGGAGATCTCAAAGCTGTTTTTCAAAATTTTCAAGATTTGAACTTCAAAAAAGTTTAAAATGAGGAAAGTTACTAACGCTAGTTAACATACCAGAACAACGATAAAATAGAGTCTATCAACTTCGTAACACCTTAAGTAGTTTAGGTGAAGGAAAATTATTGGGATTTGTCGAAAAACCAGTATCGCCTACGTTGTGTGTGCATATACATGTGAATTTTGATTCATAAATGGTTTTTGTTTTATTTCTAGCTACTATTACGATAGCTTTACCCTATAAAAAAAATGAAGGGTAAAGCTCTCAGCGTTGATCAATCTTTGAAGGATGCGCCATGCATTCGAGTTCATTAAGCATCATTTGGTGGTGATTGAATGCATATCTGGCCTTGACAATGACCAGCGGTGGTCTACCGATGTATCGAGCCAGTGCTGCTATCCTCCTAGACAACTATGGTTCCAATTTGTAGACCCCGGGGGGATGGAAGGCTTAGTGGCCCATGTACACCGGGATCGATTCCACGTGTGTGTTGCAGGGCGCATCCCACAACTGCGCCACACGCCCTATATCTTATAGGATAGATGTGTTCAGAAAACACTGTCACATATTTCATAAATGTTGTGAAATGGACTACTGAGTTCAGAAACACCGGCGTAGTTGGATAGAAGAATAGTGTTTTTTCAGTGCACAAGTAAATCTCAAAGGCGATAACGTTCTTAAGAAAAACCACCGAATCTGCTAGCTAAAGACAATGAAAAAGCTAGTTGTAGGAAGAGCGCATAAAGAGGAATGGAGCCATTTGCTTGGCAGTGCGTAATGACCTATGTTAGTTGAAAACTACCTGTAGCGAAAGCGCCTACAAATTAGGCTTCAAATGGTATACACACGGATTTAGGTTTCGTTTTATAAGTTTTGGACCAGATGAACCTACGAAAATTCTTTTTTGCAAGAATCTTATGCAAGTCAGTTTATTTTAAGAACTTCTATCACGTGATGTATGAACGAGAAAAGAAGGCTCCTCGGTGGAAAGACTGCACAAGCACAGCTATGTACAAAATGAAATATGCTACTGGCGCGCTCTATGTTAGAAATGCACTAAATGAGGTGGGCTATTCATTATGGAAATCAATTAATTTTGCGATACAGCTCTATACTGTATCGCAATGTGTTGGCTCCTTCATTTATTCTCTTCAGCTTTTTTTTCTTTAAATGTAGCCCCTAGCTTTGATGAGGTTAAGAGCGGATCTTTACAACACACTGACATACTCCCCAAAATGGACAGCTAAAATGGGCTTACCGGGATAAGCACTGTTTTGTCCTCAATCTCTAGCAACGTAAAACAGCATTTCGCAGGCATCGGTAAACGTGATGCTGGAGATGATCAACGATTTAGAAGATGCATTCCACAACATGGTGATAGGGAACGACTGGGTGGATGAGACTACGAAAGCGGTTAGTGGAGAATCATTTCGGAAAACAGGTATTGAAACAAGTTCAGAGAGTTTCTTCAGAGGGCGCTCGATAAAGGCACATGCTTCGACAGATCGGCTCTCCAGATTTTATTCTCGACGACGAGGAGCTGGACGATTATTACAGTGAGGTGAGTAATTTGCCCGATATCCCATACAATGAATCACTACATCTTGCGAGATGGTATTCCTAACATTTTGACACTTCACCTGTTCCGTCGAGTAATCGAAAACTTTGAGAAAGAGAAGTGCCGAAGTCGCATTGTATTAAAGCCTTTTCGACCTTCAGAAGGGTTTATGGCCCGTGATTTTTTATCGGATCCACATAGCATGTACAGAGCACAGCCGAATATAGATCCAAAGGCGAACCTTTCTTATGTAAACTTCTTTGAAGTCATTCGTAATCTGAAAACTTTAGCCCAAAGATTAAAGGATAAAGGGCATAACATTGATCAATCCTTAAGGCATGCTCCATGCATTCGATTTCATCAGCCACCGTTAGGAGTGATTGAATGTATATCTGGCCAAGTGGCCTAACAATGTGTGGAGTGAGGTTTGTTGCCCTACAAATTTGCGTTGCAGGAGGAATGGAAGGTTTGGTGGGCGTGAGGCGCCGGATCTAACTCACCGCATGTGTTTTGTAGGTTGCCTGCAATCACAGCGTAACATGCGTCTTCTAAGTAATAACATATAATAGGAAACATAATTCTTCGTAAGATCGCAGTAGCTGAGAAAGGGAAACATTTTCCATCCAGATATACAGCAGAGCAAGCCGATGCTACGGAAGAACCCAATTACCTGGGGTAGCCACCTCTTCATAGGGAACAATAAAAATAAAAGGCCTGTTTGTCTTGGAGGTGAGTGAAAGCCAATAACGAGGTCTCGCACAGATGTCTGCAAGTAATTCAACAAGTAACTACGTGTACACTTTGTTGAGCATTTGACTGCTAACCGCTTTTAAATAGGCGACTTTATATTTTTTAAGCTGCATTCTCAAAATGTTTCTGAATGTCCACTTTAAGTTGTACGTAGAGGAATCGGATTCGTACAGTCGAATAGTGGGGAATTTGAGTCGATGGAACATTGAGTTCTACATTAAACTTCTTTTGAAGCCCGTCGATAGGAACGAAAGTGATTTTAACCCGGCTGTCGTGAATGCTTTTTAGTCGTACACGTCAAATTCTATCAGTAAGCAGGTTCTGACTATTCATGCCATCTTTTCAGAATGAAAAAATGTCGATGAGATTAAAACAGTAAGACTCCTTTTACTCAAATGAATAAATGACATTGTGAAGCTATGAAAAATCTTTTGTGATATTTTCCTTTTTCATAGACTTCCCAGCAGCCATTCCTTAACCGCCGTTCTTCCACCAGACGTTTCTAAGGTGAGTTTTTAATGTAAATAATCAAGTACTTCCTGCTCTTCAACAGAGAATCAGACTAAGACAAAGCTTCCGGTTTCATTTAAGAGCACTGAACTATGGAGGGATTGAGACGGTGATTGGACACGAAATCACCCACGAATTTGATGATCAAGGTACTTCCTCTTTTGTACAGTTTTCTTCCGACCTTATTTTTCTAATATGGAGAAAATTATTTATGAGGCTTTCAAAATTAGCCACAACACTGTCGCTTTCTCTCAGCCGTGTTTTTACCTTATAGCTGCTATCAAAAATTACTCATCAAACGGATTGAAGTGTGTGGTGCAAATCGGCGTTGAACTTGGTTAAGCTGAAGCTGTAGTATAATTCACAATGTAATTGTTTTTTATTTACTGCCTATTCCTGCATCGTTGTGCTTACAGCTCTTATCATACTCTGCCATAAAAAGAATAGGCAGTAAATAAAAGAATTATTACGTGACCTGAACAGCATCAGTTTGAAACAAACTGAAGAGCAAGCAACAACCATGCCAGCTCTTACTGGAAGGAACAGTCGATGCATTCATTTTGCTTTCTACTTTCTTAAAAAAAAGCGCTCATTTTCCTATAAGACAGAACCTGACTTTTGCTGGAAAAAAATCTGTATTCTTATTACTCTTAACCTAATTACCTGTAGTCCCTGGCATGAGAAATATGGAGTCCGTTAAGACGATTAGTCATTCTTGTTAGGTTATTGGCTTGAAGAAGACAAACCACGTGATGGACTAGCATTTATGAAGATTGTAAAGTGCTTCTTTTGTTGTTTCTTCTGATTTCTTTAAAATCAATTACCTAAAGGTTTATGGTAAACCGTATAATGTAACCTGCTTTCACCTGCGGTCCAGAGTTTTGCAAATATCCCAGCAACATTGTGGTTGTAATCCAAAAGTTTTTGAGATGTGGGAACTGTTAATTTTTGTGAACTGTTTGTTGAACCACTTGTTAAGCCTGTAGCAACGTTGCCCAGCCCCTTTCCTCGTACTCCCCACACTGCCAACATACGACGGGAAAATTTTCGGAGCAGTTTTTGGTCTCCGGTTCCCTTCGAAATTGCTAGTAAAACGTGCACGGGAAGTGTTGGAAAAACAGAAGGGAAGAGAGTTGGTGAAAACAAGGAAAAATATCCTTCGTTGGGATCCAATTTTCCTGTAAACGTAATAGTTATATGCGAGGAGCTACATGAAACACGTAAGGAGTCCAAATAGCAGACCCCCTGACAGAGTCATCTATGGGTATAGAGCACTGTAAGAAAAATAAAATTGTTAATTTTCTTCGTATTTTTGTTGAGCAAACGCGAGGTGTTATTATTCTTTGTTCACGATTAAGCTGACGTTTCGGCGGATTTCGCCTTCCTCAGAGCCTGGAAAGGTCAAGTTGATAGCAATCTACTCGGCCAGACGCCTCCATAACCAAACAAAGAAACTCTAAACCAAGATTTCAATCACTTTGAACACAGCTTTGCAAACTCACCGCTTCCTATGAGGTTTCCACTAAGTATGTCACATAGAGACCAACCGCACAGAAATCACATGGAAATATAATGTGCCCCTCACATCAGAAAAGCAGTTTTATATACTGCCCTATATCACGCGTGATAATGAGGCACTCTTCCCTGCGGTTCAGTTTCGGATTTCTGGAATTAATCCAGAGTGCCTCGAGAGTTTTTCGCGCCTGTGTTCTTGATTCGCGTGCGAGGATCGTGACACATACTTCGAAGTCGTCCCC